TGCGTCGCAATTTTATATATCGCAATCCTCTGCTCCGGTTGCTAAATATCATTTCCATCTTTTAGTTCTTGCTCTTTCGTTCTCTCTGGTCGGCGCATCAAATGATTACATTCATTAATTAGCGCGATATGGGAGCGACACGCGCAGCATACATTTGCGTCTAACAAAATGACATTAAAGAGATATGAAAAGAGGCGACACACATATACGAAATCCGGCGTACGTTGCACATCAAAATATGTAGCAAAGTGAAATTCGCTGTTCATGAAATTTCGTTGCGCGATTATTGGCAATAAATTATTATACAAGGTAAGGTAAGTCTCGTTCTCGATGTTGAGTCTTTTTAAAAAAAGAGAGAAAAAAAAAAAAAAAGTAATTCAAAAGCAGCGGTCACGGACTTGAACATTTTCAAGTTCCTTGATTAAATTTTTCTGTCCTGAGCGTTTTATCATGTTTCTGTTGATATGGATAAAAATTGCGCGCGAGAAATCCATTTTGTGTGTTCAATGAACTAGGAATAAACTCTCGATGGTTATTGGCTATGTAAAAAATACACTTGGCCTTCGCATCAGAATGATTATTGAGCTCATTACACGTAATGCATGGCTATATGTCACTGTATTTCTTTTTTATTACCAGTTTTATATGCTAAATATAAGTATGTATAAATGAGTATAACTGTGTAAGTAAACATAATAAAATGTAAATAAAGCTTCCAAATCGTCGAGATTAATTTTGTAAAACATAAAATGTTAAAATAATGTTAAACAATTCATATTAAAATAAAATAAAATAAAATAAAGGCCTTGATTGTATCACATGGAAAAAAATCTGCATATATAGGTCAATCTATAATTTGCAATTAAAAATTTACAAGTAGATAGAAAAGCTCAAGCTACTAAAAATTAGAGAGATCGAATCTTTTCTATTTTTATACGATGGCTATTATAACATTTTCAATTAAAAATTTCCTTCTCGGAAGCGATCGTTTAAAAGATATTTTTTTTCGAAAACTCTTATTATTAATATCTTCTGCATATTTTTGAACTTTAAAAACCAAGAAATTTATTCCACCAGAAAAAGGAAAAGAATGAATTTCTCTGTTTTTCTAATTTAATTTTTTCGGAGAATCTGAGGGAACATATACGCTTTACACGCGGGAGAATTTCAACGTCAAATATATTTTTTTTCTCTCTCTCTCTCTCAGTTTTAAAATCATTTGGGTCATGCCTCGACAGCGGAGTTAGAGCACTTCATGATGTGTGACGGGGTATAGATTGTAAAGCGTTCTCGAACGACCCTCCAGCTCCTCTCGTCGATCCGCTGGACACGCGTGTTCGAGATGGGCGTGTGAAATAAATAGGAGGGGAAAAAAAACGCGGTTTTGTAAAATCGGCTTTGTGTGCAATAAATCCGATTCGCATTTGAGATCTAACGGATATATGTCGAAAACACGCCTTTGTGATATAATTGTTCCGCGCGTTGAAATTAGATATTTCGCGATGGGACTTGACATTCTCCATGTCCTTGAAATGTACTCGTGTCCATGCATGGAGTGTGTGATTGGCAACGAATTAAACAATGAGTATATACGTAAGTTCACTTATTCGGACGTAAATTTAAAATTATGTGAAGAGAGTTCGAGAGTTACATATTTTAATTTTAATTTCTATATATATATATATATATACATGATAATTAAATTTCAAGTGTAATATAGGAACAGTTAATTTATGGTGACTAATTTTTTCCGTGCAGAAAATATTATATATACCTATATATATATATATATATATATATATATATGGTATATAGGTATATATAAATTTTCTGCACGGAAAAAAATTAGTCAACATGAATTAACTGTTCCTATATTACACTTGAAATTTAATTATCATGTCTATATAAATTTTAGCTATGATAGCTAATACTTTTTAACTATAAAATTCTCCGATAAACTATAGCTTGAAAATATTAATTATTATAGCGCTTTAGGCATAATAACTAAATTTCAGGTTGTAATATAGAGACAGCTATGGTGGCTAATTCTTTTTCCGCGTGTAAATGTATTAAATATATATATATATATATATATATTACGTTAAAATTATTATATCAATATAATATAAATTATTAATTATTTTAATAATATCTATTAATATATTAATAAAACTATTATTATTATATTAATTATATTATATAGATAAATTTAATTATGTGTCCTCTTAATATATATTAAATTTGTTTAAATAATATATATTAATATAATTAATAAAATGATCATATTAATTACGCGTTTTATATTAAAAAAATAATAATTATGCCTTATATACGTAGTCCGGATATTGATGTAACTAAATTATAAATGGTGTAGGAACAGGTTGAACTGTATATCCTCCATTAGCATCTAATATTTTTCATAATGGCCCCTCGGTCGACTTAGCTATTTTTTCTTTACATATTGCTGGTATATCTTCAATTTTAGGGGCAATTAACTTTATCTCAACAATTTTAAATATATATCATAAAAATTTTTCAATTGATAAAATTCCACTTCTTGTTTGATCAATTTTTATCACCGCAATTCTTCTTCTTTTATCTTTACCTGTTCTAGCAGGAGCAATTACTATATTCTTAACAGATCGAAATCTAAATACTTCCTTCCTTATCTCCTGCATTATATCCCTCTCAGAAGGGACAGACATTATAATTCAAATAGTAAGTCGAATAATCGCGAGCTTATTTTTCATTCCATGTGTTCCATTAATTTTCTCTTTTTGCAACAAGCCTTGACACATTATAAAAGAATAATGTTGCCTCTCTACGAATGTATATCACTCATTTTTGTATAAAATATCACCGTAGTATTATATATTATATCTAATTTTCCTTCCAACTCCTCGCGGAGTTATTTCCATAAACATGAATTAACCGCGGGTTTAACAGGCTCCAATTAGAAGGGAAATGAATATCAGTTGAAATCTCAATTAACCTTAACTGATATCTATGGGTACACAGGTCACGGCAAACGACGGTAAGCAACTTATATAGAAACTAAAGAATTAATGATTCGGAAGAGATCGATTTACATATAAATGCAACGCGCATTTTAAAATAACCCTCCCGCAGTTCGAACAAGCTTTCGCATTACGTATTCAGTTTAGTTTAAAATTTGAAATATGCCAGGGAATATATGACACGGTCTGGGATCTCGTACGAGGGAATCTGCTCGTCAGCATCGCGAAAAGGCGCGTATTAATTACCCGGAAATTATGAGAACGAAGTAATTGAGGGAATATAAAAACCTGAAATTCTCTCTCTCTCACTCGTCTCTTATCTCGCGTATTTGTATAACGGAGGGAACTCCGGGCTTCGCTCTATAGGGCTATTGAAATCGAAATGCCGCTGTATGAAGGATTCGCTGAAAGCGACGAGGAGATATGATGAAAGAGATGCGGCAAAAGGTTATATAGGAAGATCTAAAAAAATAAACAACATGAAAAAAAAGAATTTGATCATATAGCCACGTCAATATATGTATACACACGCTCTGGTTACCACGAACGAGATCTTCATACACTTTTTCCATTTTTCCATAAATATCGATCCAATCCACATCGGACGAGCCATAAACTCGGCTAGTTCGCGAGACCTCTGTGTGTGTATATACTTATCTTTCGGTTCGTCTTCCAAGTTCATTGATCGCTGAGATGGAAATAAAACTAGTGTGAAGGTAAAAAAAGTCAGGGTGTCCGGCAGACTCAATGAAAAAAATTCTCTAATTTTTCAGATTTTCCAAGACCAGAAATTAATTTTTCCCTGACTTTTTAATATTATTTTTTCCAAATATATATAATTTGCATATATCTATATATGATGAATCAATTAAATGTTAAATCATGAAATCCTTGAGATATTTTTGTCAACAATGAAAAGGCTTGGAAGTTGAGACAAAAATTTAAATCAATTATGCAATCTGTATTATATTACGATAATCGAAACAAACATGTCACTATAAACTATTCAAATAACCACCTTCTTTATTTATATTATATCAATTTTTTTACTTTTATCTCTATTAAACACATTGAAATAAAATAATACGACGATGAAAATATAAATTAACAAACACGCTGTAGATGAATCGATTTTTAACAACACGGAAAATTAGCGTGCTGAAAGTCAAGGAAAAGTTTATATTTATTTAACAAAAAATTTCAAATTATTGAAACAAATGTAGAATAATGTGAAAAAAATTTCCTGACTTTTCCCTGACAATGCCCAGTTTTCTAGATTTTCCTGACCGGCAAACACCCTGGATGAAGAGGATCACGCGCGAAACGGCTCGATCATAAAAGTGATAAATTACGTAGAAAGTTGAGTATTCCTCGCACAGGTCATATTTAAGTCATATTTAATTATAACCCGTCAAATATATATTGAATGCTTCAATCCCAAGCAGCAAACTGACGTCATTAAACGTCAAAATGTCGAATACGATGTCATTAAAATGACGTACCTTGGAACGAATCGTCGGAAATGATTTCAGGGTTTTTCCGTGATTTTTCAAGAGCACCTCCGCAAATAAATATTAATCCCGCGAGTTTTCCGTCTGAAAACCTTATCTGGGGGTGCGACTCTCACTTCTATAGAACGTCTATTTATAACGTCATTCTCGACAGCTGGATTATTCCGGCGAGAACGTCGTTAAAAGCCAAAATATACAAGGCTATGATCAATGATGAACCGGACGACGATGACCGATGTATCTCGACGAGGTCACCTCGGCTGTACGTGCCGGGGTTTCTTAATTAGCCTGGTCTTCATCATTAATCAGGCGACGCATGACAGTACAAGTGTTACGAGCGTGTGCGGCAGGAATAGCGGACGAAGTAGAAGAGGAAGCACAAGAGGGAGAGTGAGAAAGAGAGGGAGGATGTTCGCGAGGGTGAAAAGTGGGCGGACGGCGCAGTCAGCGGAATCAGCAGAATATACCGCACCTGATCAATTAAGCTGCTAATCGCCCCGAGATGACTGCTCGCCGCTATCATTCGTCCGGATTGTCCTCCACTATCTCGCGAATCCCGACTGGGTGTCCTGCTCGTCCTCCGTCATCGTCGTCCTTTGTGGCTCTTTTATCCTCCCGTTTTTCCCAAGATCTTCCTCGAAATTTTCTCGGAAGACGAGTCGAATCGGTCCGACCTTCCCGAGATAGGGTTCCGTTCGTCTCTTCCTCGAGGGAGGCGACCGAACGAGCACGAGTGGAAAGCTCGACGACTACGAGCACGCGAGCTTGCGCGAACCTCGCACTCGCACGACTAACCGAGGCCTGGAATCGAGGCTTGCCCGCCACCCTTGCTGGCGAATGCTGAAGAGCGGCGCCACGAGCGAGAGAAACTACCCTCCCTTTTTACGCTAGGGGAAGAGGAAACTGCGCCGCGATATATGTATATCGGGTGGCGCATAGAGCACCGGAGTGCTCCGAAGGGAGAACTTTTTTCTCTGGGTTTAATCGCGCGAACTCTTTAAAAATAAAAATAAAAAAAAAAAAAAAAAAACGAAGTCGTCGAGAGATTTTTGCGCGTCCTTTTCGCGGTGTATTAAAAGTCTACTAACCCCCGTGAATGAAGATGGGAAAAATAATATCAACCACCGTGAATGAAGACGGGAGTTCTTTGCTCGGTATTTTAAACACGTGACATTTTCGCCCGACGTTTCCAGGGAAAACATTTTTTATATGTAATTATATAGAAATACTTGTATAATATATTTATACATATTATATAATCGTAAAATTATATGTGAAATATGTTCATTTTTATACATATTTATATAAAATGTATAAATTATAAGAGTTTATATCAATCATGTCAATATAATTATATATGAAACATATATATTTATATATATATATAAAGAAATATTTATTATATATATATATATAAATTTATAAAATTATATATAAAAAGCACTAATTATATATGGACATATTTCATATATAATTTTGCTTGATTATATATATAATTTTATATATATTTCTATATAATTTTATACTGTTATATATAAAAATTTTTTCCCGGGTTCTGTCAATTTCTATCACTAGTACTTTCTTGCGCTGATAGCGCCTCTTTTTTCCATTGTTCCAGGAAGTATTTTCTCGGCATTTATATTTACAACTACTGTCGAAGATACGCATACATACATATATATATATATGCATATACATGCAAGCCGTGCGATAAATGTCAGATGTCAAAACGTGCGGCGGAAAGCATTTTATTAATTTTATCGTTGAATTTCTTAAAAGATGAAACAAGATTGCACGAATTAAATTCCCTTACGACGAATAAACGTAGTTTTAAGATAGATCACGAATATAGGAGGATAATCTTAAAATATTAGTCCTTAAAAAGTTTTGCAAATCACGTATTGCGTATAAATTTAACTTTGCCTCCTGCAACATTGATCTTTGGTCGGAATCAAATTATCTATAATCTATGATATTAATATACAAATATATAATACTCGAATACTCGTACACTGAAAAAAATTTATTGAGAATTCGAATAATTATTTATCTGAAATTAATAATATTGATCTGAAGTAAAAAATATTTATTAATTTAATGATTTTTTTAGTGTACGTTTATATGTATAATCAATACATTTTTTAATAATATTTTGAATATATAATTTATATATTTTAAAATATAATTTAAAAAAGTATTTTTTTCAATATCAATAATAAGCAAAGACAGTTAATAAATTTTGATCGAAATTTTACAAAGTCAAAAAGTTCTGTGATGTTCTTTATAATTAATTTAAATTCTTTAAGTCATTTTCAATTTAAAATGATAAGTCGACACTTGATATATATGCAATTTATTATACATATAAAAATATTCTGTGCTTTTTTTTAGATATCATTTTCGATTGCAAAATTTATTTATCGTAATACAAATTATTGTAATACGATAGATGTGCCCTTGAATCTTCAATTCATCCTATCTTATTACATCGATTATATATTCAATTTCTATTTTTTTTTTTTGTTATGTGGCATACAATTTGCATTCCATCCATTATCCAGTATCTGTTATCGAACGCATGTCCATTTTTACTGCGGATTTCCCTGCGCCACATTCTTCCTTCCCTCAACCCCTAGCGATAGGAGTTCGTGATTTCTTTTTCTCGTGTCTTTCTTTGTGGCGCAACCACCTGTAACTCCTTCGAGACAGACATTTCAAGCTGTATGCATCTCCGTCTAACCACGCTAAATCGTCGCATTATTCTTCATGTCATCTCGTCACATTTTTCACATAGATCGATCTTATACATCACAAAATAATTTTTATCTATTCCCCATATATTTTTCATTGCCTAATTCATTATTTAAATTAATATTAAAAAGGATATAGAAAACATTGCTGTCTCTCTCAATTTAATCACTGCATTTTACTATCTGTCAAAATTTATATCTAGCTTTTTCCAGACTTTTTCCAACGAAAATTGGGCACCATAATCTTTTTATTTTTTCGACAAATTGTTTAATCAATTATATATAATTTCAATTAATTATATGAATTTAATAATTTCTATATAAATTGATGAGCAAAAAATGTAAAAAGACTACACCCTATAAATTTAAGACAAGAGAGCTAATTAAGAATTTATAATACGAGATATTTTTATATTCAGAGATATGAATCTTTCTGTTTTATAATATTGAAATAATGTAGAAAGCACGGTTAAAAAAACACCAGCTGTTGAGGAAAATAATTCAACGAAAGATAAATGGATTCTATGTTACTCGCTATTCGTAAAATAGGAAGTGACGTCTTTATCGACATCTGAGAAAATAGAAAACCGCGTTAACTTGACGGGAATTGAAACAGTGACGCAAAACATACACGGCGATAATACAATTTATATATATATATATATATATATATATATATATATATATATTCTGCATCTACAATTTACAAAATTAATTCGTAAAAATAAAAAAAAATGTCACTAAAATTTCGTGAAAATAATTTAAAGAATTTAAATTAATTTTAAAGAATATCAAAACTTTTTGACATTGTAAAATTTTCAATAAAATAATCGACGCGTAATGTAGCGCGATGTAAAAACGCTACCATTCATCTCAAATTTTTGCATATTCTTTTTGCATATATAATATGTATGATTTTATTTAAAATATTCGATGCTTTATATTCATAAAATATAATTTTCATATTGCTTTTTCCGAGAAAATGTCGATTTGCAATTTAAATTCGCAATCACCCCTTTTCGCAAGCAGCAATTAGTTCATCATCAATCTATTAGCACGGCAATAAGTAATAAATAAGAAATAAGAGGAGAAAAAATAAAGATACATTATTTTTTATTGCAAGTAATAATATTTCTTGTAATCTATTTTTATATTAGACTTGTATTGTCGCAAATATATCGGTGATTTTTACTGCAAAGAGTTCTATTTATAAAAAAAATAATATTGTTAATCAAGAAAGAAAATATCACTGGTTGATATATATGTTTTCGTTTGGAAAAAGTCTTCCAAGATTTTTTTTTTTTAAAGCAACGACTTTTATTAACTCTCTTTAAAGCGGAACTTATTGGAGAGAAAAATGAATCTTTACATCAACTCCCGATAACTTTATTATCTTTCCCATGTTGTATGTCGCACAAAAAAACTCTTTTTTTCTTTTTAAATAGTTTGGATTTAAACTACTCTTGTGCCCCATACGAGGAAATTCCAGTTAAATCAAGGTATAATATACATGATGAGCTTTTTGTCTTTTGTGTCACGTTTTCATACTTTTAGTAGTTATACTTTTAAAAGAAGTCGACCATCGCAATTGCATGCAAATGTGAATTTTTAGATATTCATGCGGAACTTCGATATACCTATCTGTAACAAGATTTTATGTTTTTATTTCGTTTATTTATATTATTATTTTCGTTTCAAATATTATATTTTCGGGTTTACATTAAAGCTTAAAAAAACTTCGCTATATATGGTTATACATATATTCTTTGATCATCTAACCAATCTAAATATAATCTGTCGCTAGTAAAAAAATTTCGTGTAGTAGTAAAAAATGAAAGATAATATCACATTTCACATTTCATTATTTCACCTTTTGCTTGAATTAAAAAAAAATTAATAAAATGATAAAAAAGTAGTGTCTTACTTTTCAAAAGTGTATGTTTTGAAACATAACTCTTCCATCATTCTAAAAATTTTTCTTTATTTATTTATGTAATTATATTTTATCATGTAATTTTATTTTATTATGTAATTTTTGTAATTTATGCATTGAAGAAAATATGAAATTAATAAATATATATTTATTTCGATACTATCAAATAAATCATTTATTTGAGACAAATAAATATTATTTGTCTTGAAAAAGATTTTCTTATATCAAATAAAATTTTTTCAAAATCAAATCAATATTAGACTCAAATAAATTATTTATTTGGCAGTATATTGAAATAAATACTTATTCGAATTCAATAAATTTTTTCAGTGTGTAATTTATGTAATTTTCAAATTGTTTAACTTCTCTTCAATCATGCATTAAAATTATACAAATTAAATTATACATTTTATACAAGAGAATCATATTTTTCCATACTATACGTCACACCATTTTATATATAGCATCTCAATATAATCAATACAAACAAAAAAAAGAGAGAAAAAGGAAAGAGAGATAATATAATACTATTTTCAGTGAAAATATGCAGCAAGATCTCATTATTGGATGTTTGTCTGGAAAACGATTCAAGTATATCGATAAAAGGAGTGACAAAGTGCGCAGCTGTTGATCATTACTGATAAGAAGGCAGCTGATTAGGCTGAGCTGATTACAGGTTTTTGTGATAAAGACTGAACCGCGTGGGCGGTTTTGTCACCTGACATTTCTTATGTTCTCTCATGTTAGTCATGTGCCTTGTGTGCTATCTTACATATATCATTCGTTTCCCATTTCAAACACCTTTCGTTCGCGATCAGAGACTTATATGGGCTTTCTTCGCCTCTCTGGAACTTTATCCGGTCCTTTTACGTCAACCCCGACCTGTGTTCCAACTTTGTCTTTATACGATCCTTACTTTTTCTAACACTACTCTTTTTATCCTCTTCTCCTTCTCTCTCTCTCACTCTTTCCCTCGCCACCTTTTTCTCTCGCTCTATAGTACGTATATACATGTATATATATATATATCTCTCTCTATCTCCCTCTTTTTCTCTCTCTCCCACTCTCTATCTTCCCAAGAACGTATCTGATACCCCGCTAGAGAAGTTCAGTCGTTGACGCGCCGTGAAACCAGTAACAACATCACATTGGGTTTTATTGGGGGTTTATAAAAAAACGAATGTAATATCGGGAAATTTCGCCGATCTTGACGTTTCTGACGTGCAATGTACTCTTAATACGTCTATTACATAATTGACAATTATTTCGCGTTCGGCACGAATTAACGTCGCATCGGAAGCAGCGAGAACTCGAATCGATATTTCGTAAATAGTGTTGAATCTCGCGAAAGATAAATAATCGGATTATCTGACAATCCGATTGCGTTACCAGTCCGGGCGGACCATATCGTCGATTTATCTACTGAATGGGCGGACTCTATTCGCCGTCTCTCTACTGAAAGTCTGTTTGACTACGACAGGATCTTCCACTTATCGTCTTCGACGAATTCGGTTATCTCTCTCTTCGGCTTTCGCGCAAAAGTAAGAAAATGTTGTTTATGATAATATTTAGTAAATTTTTATTTTAATTTTCTCTCTTTAAACTTTTCATTAGATTTTATTTCTCTCTATTTTAATAACATTCTTTCTCTTAATATATATATAACATTTTTTAATAACTTTTCGAGTTATAAATTATATATTGTATAATAAAAATATATTTTTATAATAATATATTTTATAAAAATATATTTTTATAGTAAATTAGAAATAATTTGATATATGAATTTGATGTATGAATATTGTTAATATATAGAAACTTTTTAAATTACTTATATGTTTTATAAGTTTTATAAATGTTTTATCGTCTACGACGAATTCGATTATCTTTCTTCGGCTTTCGCACAATAGTAAGAAAATGTTATTTATGATAATATTTATTAAATTTTTATTTGTACTTCTACGTTTTTGATAAAATATTTTTTATTTCAATTTTCTATCCTTTAAACTTTTAATTGGATTTTGTTTCAATTTTGTTTCAATTTTAATAACATTTTCTCTCTACATATAACATTTTTTTTATAAATCTATATGTACTGTAATAAAAATATATCTTTATAATAAATTATAAAAAATATATTTTTTTATATAATTTAATATGTTTTGTTAATATATAGACATTTTTTTAAATTGCTTATATATTTTATAATTTTCTAAATTTTATACTTTCATATTTTATAGATTTAAATTATTTAAAAAATTACTTTATTTTATAGAGAAAGCAATATATAAAAACCGCAGTTTCTCGTTTCTTTAAAAGAATACAATGGTCATATAAGCCGATAATGTGGTCAAATCCGTGAAATCGATTGTCGCCAATTTATTGAAAGGTCAAACAACTGGAGGATATATATGTGTGAGATTTCGATAACGCGATCCTATCATGAAAATTATTGCGACTATAGATAACGTGATGTGTAAACACAAATCATTTACAAGAGACATAAAATTAAGCAAACCATATCTACAATTATAGGAAAATCATTTAATGTTAATTTTTTTGGTAATTCGCTTAACGTATCTGACTGACAAATGCAATATTTACACAATATTACATTTTATAAAAATTGTATGTAAATCACTTTTTCAAATTTCTGAAATACATTCATAAAATTGTTCAATTAAATCGAATTAAATATATAATCATTTTAATATTAATGTTATAATCAGTATTTTTTTTTAAATTGCAATACTATTTTTTTATTTTTTATACTTATAATAAAATTAAAAAATTGTTTGTTTGAAAAATACTTTGCATTAATCAAAATGTATTCAAGGACATCATATATAATGTATTATAAAATTCATATTTAATTTTTCTTCAAAAATTATATTTCTGTTGAATAATTCATAGTAGTGATAAAAAAGAAATGATAAATTGAAAACATTATCATCGTAATGAAAATTATAACCTTACATTTTGCACAAAAAAATATATGAAAGATTTCCTTGCGTGATTTCGCAAGAGAGTCATAAACAGAACACATTAGAATTTGTTACAATGATATATTGCGAAGTTGACTGTCAGTTACAGGCCGTTTATCCTTTTCACCGAATGGAAGAATAAAAAGACAATCTTTTTCCCAAGGCAACGTATTATATCACTTTACGATTTGTAAACGATATAATTTGTCATCACAAAATTTGACATTTCTAAAATTAATTGTACGAATGCACAGGTTCAAAAATCGAAAAGTTTAAAGAAATAGTGTAGAAGAAATAATATTTTTTTTAAGAGATAAAAATTAAAAATTAAATAATTTATAATATTTTATACAATACAGAGAGTTGTATATAAGTTTGTGAGTTGTGTAAACAAATTGCATTGTCTGATGCAAGATACTGGGTCAAGAATAAATTGAAAAGAAGTAATTTTCTTTACGTCTCTGTTGACGATGACACAGCAAAGATTAACTAGATGAAAAAATAAACATTTGCCAACCAGAAAAAGACACAAAGAGGGAAGGAAAGAGACAGAGATAACTAACTAATCATATACATACATAAGGCAATGCATGTGCATTAATTTATGATTTTTCAAAAAATAAGATAAAGATATGAAATATTTTAAATTATTGTACATTACATATATTATTGTACAATAATGTTTACGATGATGATGTATAGTCACGACGTTGATATATCATTTCGTTATTGTCATCTGTAAATTATTTTTAAAAAATGTAAGAAATAAAAATATATATATATATATATAAATTTTAATATTTAAATATAATTTTAAGGAAAAATAAATTAAATCTAAATTTTGTAATATAAACAATATATGCATATATGATAACATATGAAAATTATTTAATACATTTTTCACGCAAAAATGTTCAACTTAAAAAATAAAAAATAAAATTAAAATAAATGAAATAGTAGTATATGCTCAAGACATTACGATTAATAAAATATTTGCAGATGACGACAATGCATTGCAGTGGAATATAATCGGATTTTTTTTTTTTTTTGTTATTGTTCCCCTTAATTTTTAGTCTGGGAATATCCGGGACTACATTGTCATACACCGCACGTATGTACGTATTGTTGGCATTGAGGCATGATTCCATTGTACAACATAAAACATGAGCGTCCACAATGCGTGTGTCACACACATGGCCGGATAAAATCCTATACGTACGAGATTATGACCTCAAGACGCGAATATCCTTGTTATTTTCTGCCTAAAATAACTTTTTAATAAATTTCTTCGTAAAAAGAATGATATCGCACTTAAAATTTCATATTTTTGCTCAAAGAAATATTTCAAAGGGGATATATTTATTAAAGGATAAAGGATAATTAACCTGTACGGCGAGTTAAAATAATTGATTCTCTGTGGGGAGATCTTTTAACGAAGCTTACGTGTCTCCGGGTGAGTTATTACGGATAATCATCGTGTTAATCTTGAGGACCTTAATGACATGATTTGGTCGAAAATACGGGAATAAAATCCGACGACGGAAAATTATGCTAATAAGATTAATTACCTCCTGCAAATTTTCCCTTAATTATAATGAATAGCTTGACTTTTCATTTACTCATTAAAATTTGTTGAAAATCTGACGTAATATAATTCGGAAAATTCGCTTGTTAACAGGATATATATATATATGCACATAAAATAAATATAAAAATTGTAAAATTTAAATGTCAGCGATAAAAAAAGATGTAACATTTTATATCAACTGTCTTATATGTGAATCAATCGGGTGCAATCGAACGCATTTATACATTATGATCTCGTGCATTCTGATATTCTTGTGTATTATGATATACCATATTTTCCGTTCTCTCTCTTTCTCTCTTCTCAACGCAGCTGACGATGGATCGATTGCTAAATTAATGGTCGTCCAATACTTCCGCATATTATACCTTTGTTATCGGGATATCGAGAATTAATCGCTTTTACATCGCTTTTCCTCAGTAATACATCTTTCGGCATTAATAATTAATTAGCGCATCCAGAAAATTCATTAAAACTTTTTCTAATCTCAAACTTTTCGCTCGTTCCTCTCTCAGCTGCTTTATAAGAACGACTGTTTTTATATAGACTGTATATACAGAGTGTTTATAAACCTATGTCAGAGATGTTAAAAGCGTATTCTAGGAGTTAAAATAAGAAAATAAGTTCCTATAAACATGGGTTCAAAAATATTTTTCCTCCGAGTTATCGCCTAAGTTGGGGAAAAAAATTGAAAAATGTATTATTATAGCTCTTTTTTACAAATAGCTGAAATTTTGCATAGCATAATGATTAGTAGTGAATACTTCATTTTTATGTGATTTTGACAATTTAATTCGATTTTGAGAGAGAGAGAGATATGGGGAGGTGTTAATTTTCATTTTTAAATCCACGTTTATAGGAACTCTTTTCTTATTTTCTTTCCTCGAATGCGCCCTTAAATCTGTGACATAGGTTTATAAACACCCTGTATATACGATACAAAAGAAATATCGAGATTGCCGCGTATACATTTAATAATCCTTCATGATATCTTGTTTTTACATTTTCACGATATAAGTAGATTTTTCTGTAATTAAAACTCCGATATATGCAACGTGTGTCGAGTTCAAACAACTTTAAATTCTCCATTGATGGGAAAAACTCTTTATTTTATTTGCATATGTAAAAGAGGTTTCTACTCTTTTCCCCGTTAATTGCTTTCTCGTATGTAAACCAATTTTTGGTCCAGGTATATAACTCTCGCGAGAGCAATTTAGATAGCGAGGAGACAAAACCGTTGCAGAATTTAAATGCAGTCATTCGCGGTGCATGACATTCTCACTCTCTTGTGTGTCGCCGAATAATTCGAGACAGTCGCAATTTGCGCAACTTGCCGGTACCAGGCACTCGCTACGTAGGTTGTTTACTCAGAAGCTTACTTCATTATTATTCAAGAATCGCAATCCGATGTTACCAGTCACGCCTACGCGCCTTCCTTGCCAAGGCTGTACAGAAAATCCGTGTAAAACCCGAGAGAGACTACACCGTAATGATAAGAATATCGAGCGAACATTTCGATGAAATATTATTATCATTTATTAAAGCTCTGCTGATTTCATTTCACGCGTCCGAGAATCCTATTCTCGGATAATTAACGACGTTAGAATTTTCCAGGATTCGGTAATAACTAGTTAATTAGTTAAAAGTTAAAAACTGTTAACAAGTTAATGACTTTTAACTTAATTTAGTTAATTTAAAATGCACTTTTTAACTTCAACTTGTTATTTTTCACCTTAAATTTATTAACTTTTTTCCCTAATAATAAGTTAAATTTTTTTATGTCTGATTGTAAATACCATTATTGTTTTTTTATAAGTTATAAACGTATTATTTTTAAATTAAAGTATTATATTAATTTTTATGTTTATTTGTCATCAATTGTAATTAGTAAAAAATATATTTTTGTATAAAAATCAAAATTATTTCTTTGTTATTTGTTATTGTAAATTTTAAAAGAATTAACAAACAAAAT